CACCACAGTAGAGAGTGGGCTCCACAGGTCTTGGGAGGAGCACAAGTAATAGTGTGTGTTTTACCAAGGTGGTTCAGTGGTTAGACATTTATTCTTTCCTTAAGACATCCCTCATTTCTAGAGCTGGGTAGAAACCCAAATACTTCCTGGGGAAAAAAAAATCAGAAAATTTATGGATCTTGTCAGACTTGTTAAAAATTGATGCAATAGCAGGTTGAGTGGACTCAACGGAGAATGTGTAGAAATTAATTTTTCATTTATTCTCTAGGAAGAGAGCTATTTTAAATTTGCCAGGTGTGATTTATGTTTTCCTTCTTCCATAAATCAACTCTCTCCTTGGGAATTTCAGATCTATATATTGATCTGCATGGACTGTTATCCCTTAAGTCTTTGCTCCATTAATCACTGGGTAATTTCCAGGGAAGGATGCTCATAGAGAATATTCCTCACCATATTTGATGACCAGCCATGAGTCCCCTATTCTACCAGGGTCACCACCTGTGAGAATGAAACACAGTGATTTGCCCCAGGGCCAAGAGAAACTGCCTTTTCTATTGCCCCTACAAAGATAGGACAGAAAGACCAGAGAAGCCATTTCCCATAGTCAGGCAAGGAAGGTGCTATAGATCAAACTGGACAGTGTCCTAACAAAGAAATGGGGCCAAAAAATGCTCAAGCAGCCAGTATCCTACACTGGACATGATGGGAGTATCAGGTTTCAGAAAAGAAACTTCTTTCTCTCTTTCTCATTCTCCTGGAATTTGAACTCAGGACCCAAGACTCTACCACTTCAGCTATACCTCTAGCTCTTTTTGCCTTGATTTTCAGATACAGTCTTGCAGCCTTTGCCTAGGCTGACCTTGGAACATGATCCCCCTACCTACACCATTTGCATAGCTAGAATTATTCTTTGAGCTAGAGCCTGGCTAATTTTTTTTGCTCAGGTTGGCTTCAAACCTTGATCCTCCTATCTCTACCTCCCAAGTGGCTGCCTCTGCCTAGCTGAATCTTTTCTTTAACCACAGAATCTTCTGAAAATTCTTCACATAATCAAACTGTTTAAATTGCACAACAATTAGAGATCCATTTGGGAGATGGTGACGATTATTCATTCACACATTGGTTTACTTTAGATTCACTCAAATGTGTTCCCCTAACACATAATACCAATTATTTTTCTCTTAACACAGAACTACTAATGGTAGAGTTGGAATCAGGAAAAGGGGAGTAGGAAGAGTTGCTTTTGACCAGCTCTGATGAAGCAGGGAAAGATAGGAAGTGAAAATCACTGCCCAATGGGAAAAATGCACTAGTAGCAAGGGAGAGAAGGCAGGAAAGAAGACAGAGGGACCAAATTTCCCAAATATTACTGAAGAGACTACTGTAAGCACACTGTGTTGGAGAACCTAGCACAACAGATCTATATAAGATGGTGCTGGTGTAGCCCTAATACAGCCAGTTAGGTACTGAATTTATTAGGTTCAGATATGTTCCAGAACTCAGGATTTTATGGGGTTTTTTTTTTGAAAAGTAGTATGACACAGATATAGCAATGCTCTTACATTTGACTAGAGCTAACTTCATTATGCAAAGACATGTGGTATGCAGGGTTTTACTTAGGATCTCAAAGTCACAGAGGAAAAAAATCATGATCCTGCACTTCTCTATTGATTGATGGACAGCCAAGACTCCACCCACCCTGGGCAACTGCACCTTTCCATAGCCCAGGAACTGAAAGATTTTCTGGCCTCAGCTGAGCTGAAAGTACTAGGACCCTACTCTGCCAGCACACCATAGTAGGGCTGTGCGCTGAGTCTTACTGCATTCAGGTTACTAAACATTTCTTGGCTTAGCAAAGGACAAATGGGAGCATGCAAAGGCCGGTTACCATGCCAGATTCCCTAGGATGTGGGACAGAGTCTTAGGCTTGTAGTGTAGTCTTAGGCTTGCACTCACTAGCTCAGACCATGATAAGCTCAGTTATTCCCTCTGAGCCTCTGTTCAATTACAAAGTGGAAATAATACCTCATGTGGTTGTTAGGAGGATTAAGCAAAGTATATGGAATTAAAGTGCTTTATAGACTGCACATTGCTACTTTAATATAAGCTATTATCATTTCTACTACCATACTGGGATAACAAAACAAGACAATGTGGGTTAAAGTGCCAAGTTCACTATAAATTACATGCAAAAGCGGAGTCGTTATATTACTATGAACTTCCTATCACAGAAGATCTGTCTTCCCAACGTTGAGAGAGTAACCCAGTCTGTAGCCAAGAAAAGCCTATTCTACAGCCCACTGCCCATCCCCAGGCCTCACTAATGACTAGTCCCTTGCTAGACAGAACAGTAAGAATGCCTCAGGAGCTCTACTGAGGACCTTGCCTTGAACAAGATACTCAGAATGGGTGGCCAGGGACCTATGCAACCCTTGGGACACTTGATCAACATATTTCTATTTGAAGGATACTCCACCAGCAATAGTCTACCAAGGGTCCCTCCGCCCAGCACTCAGAGGACCTGGACTCAGCCACTAGCACTGTCACTCTAGCTCTCCCTCTTGAGGGTAATACTTTTCATTCCCTGAGCATTAGGAGCCATCACTGAGTGAGGATGTTTTTTTCATAGGCTGGTGAAGAGAAATCAATAAGAACATACCTAGAACCTTTCAAACATCGTAAAGCACAAAGCAAGGGTGAAACTATTTATTATAGGCATGGGAAGCTGGGATGTTAGTCGTAGCTAAGAAGCAGACAGTTTCAAGTTAATAGGCTGAGCTGCCATTTGCTTGGAAAAACAGACCCCCTCCTTGAACAGGCTGAGGAAAACAGGCTACAAAGCATCACCACCTGGCAAAGTTCTCTTCCTTGGGCCTGGACAAACCATTACAAGGTACTGTTGAGAATGAAAGAATGGAATCCCCAGCCCACTGGGCACTACATGAGTCTGTTTCTGACTTGTTTGGCTTTAAGTTCTGTATTTTCCTCACTTGATATGGGTAAGGCTGAGCCCTGGAGAACTAACAGCATGGCATTTTACAGGACTGAGTTTGTGAATGTTTAACTGCAAGCAGCCAAACCCAAAGCAGAGGTCTCAGTAGAATGTCTGGAACAGTGCTTTTGTCGTGCAAGTTCAAGAGTTTAGAGGGATAGATGATGAATGTTGTCTTGCTGTGGGAGAGTTTTCTCGATGGCCCGCCATCTCTGACACACTGGGCTACATGGGAACTCCCAATATGTGGTGTGTGTACTCAAGGACCTTCTTGCATGTCCTTACATGTGTGTTTGATTACTAATAATTAAAACTGGAAGACTGCTTCCAAAGGACCTCACTGCAAAGAGAAAACCTTAAAATTCAATGTGTGACAGTCTCAGAAAAGTTTTATGCCAAAGACTGTAATGAATAAATAAATAACTTATGATTGTTTTCTACCTTGTTCTTTACTCCTTTTAAAAGTCTTCCTATTCTTACTCTCTGCTAGAACATTCTCAAGGGCAAAGAGAAGGGTGTTTCCTATAGAAAGTAGTAGCCAAAAATTAGAAATCAAGATTTTTACTAATCAAAATCCCAGTAAGATATCACCTCATTCCAGTAAGGGTAGCTATTATCAAAAAGACAAATTGGTAACAAGTATGGCAAAGATGTGGAGAGAAGAGAATACTTGCACAGTACTGGTGGGAATGTGAATTAGGACAGTCATTGCAGGAAATAGTATGGAAGTTCCTCTAAATATTAAAGATGGACTACTAAACAATCCCACAGTGTCACTACTGCATCATTTACCTATAAGAAATGAAATCAGGATGTCAAAGAGACATCTGCACTCCATGTTTATTGCATTCCATTCATAGTAGCCAAGAGATGGAAGGTGTATGTCAGCTGGTGAATGGATAAATAAAATGTGGCACATATACACAATGGAATATACTTATACAGCTATGGGAAAAAATGAGATCCTCTCATTTGCAATTACATGAATGGAACTGGAGATCATTATGTTAAGTAAAATAAACCAGGACCCCAAAGATATGCAGCACATGATCTCACATATGTGAAATTACATACAAAAACAGTGATCTCAAAGAAGTAGAGACTGAAATGGTAGTTACCTGAGGGAGAGGAGAGGATAGGAAATTTTTGATTAATTGCTTCTAAGCCATGGTTCAATAGGAGTAAGAAGTTCTGGTATGTTCTTGCACAGTATAGACAACAGTAACATACTATACATTTCAAAAAACTCAAAGAATTTTTAATGCTTTACCATAAAGAAAGGATCCATATTTGTGAAGACAGAAATGTTTAACCTGATTGAAATACAACATAATGCACTGAAACACCCATGGTAGCCCATCAATATGTTGCATTTTTATGTACCAATTTAAAATGTTTGATGAAAAAGAAAAAAGAAACACCAAGATTTATTTTTGAATAAATCAAATCACCAAATAAATCATTTGAATCACTGAGTCTCGGAGTAATTTCGCAAAGCCAGATTTTACTATCAAGTAAGGATTAAGCAACATCCACTTCCGTTGATCCTTCATAGGCATATCATTGGAAGACATGATATAAACGATATAAACAATGAATCATCCTCCACAGGTGATGCAGGAGAGACAGGTTGAAAATAGAGGAAGCAATTTGTATCCATGCCAAACACCTCTTAGTTCTACTGCCTTCTGTGTAGGCACAAGGAGACAATAAACACACCTTTTCATTATCATTATTGAACCATAGTTTCATTCTGTAGGCAGATATTTCTGGTAGAGCAATGCTGTACTAATATTTTTAGCTTTCAATATTTAACGCAACTTCAAATGGTATGTCTTGAATTATGTACACCCATAACTCAGGTTCCCAGTTACCACCTCAATTTCCTAAGATTTCCTCTTGGTTTGGAATCTCATTGTCATTGTTTTTAACATTGGAAGGAGGTTTGGGGTATGGCTCATGACATTTGCTTGGGAAAACACATTAATGGCTTGCCTTGTCTCTCCAGACCCAGGGGGCAGGCTCTCCTCGCTCCTCCCCCAGCCACACCATCAGCAGACCAATCCCCATGCCCATCCGCTCAGCGTCAGCCTGCTCCACTCCTACGCACACTCCTCAAGACTCTCTCACTGGGGTAGGGGGAGATGTGCAAGAGGCCTTTGCACAAAGTAAGTGGTTTTTGTTCTTACAGTTGCCTGATTTAGTGGCCAATTAAATCACTAAAGTCCATTGAATGGTCTAGAGCTCCCCTGTGGACCCCATAGGCTTGTGTTAGAGCCTGAACTGAGTGCATTAGAAACCCTCTACACCTCCGTTCCCCACTGCTGCATTCTACCTTCCCTTAGCTCCTACAGCCCTGCCCTAGTTTCTAGTAAATCTTTGCTCCTTAATTCTCTGGAATGCCTTTCAGATTCTTTCCTTGGAAACGTTATAAATACAATCCTTATGCCTTCTATACGCTAAACCAAAGTCAATGTTGAGATTAAATAAGCCCATTGCTTTGACTCTGGGGTAATGGAAAAGGATAGACAGTTGTATTATGACTTCTCCATAGAGATGCCCTTAAGAGTGGCGTCCTTGCCTCTGTAAAATGGGGCCAAAAGGTTAGGCCTTCATGGTTAACAGAGTGCTAACAGGAGAGAGATGTGGAAACCTGTGTTCCCTATTTAAGGAGGGGTACCCCAAGACAAGTGACTTAAAACTTTTTCTTACCATCACTGTTCATATTTGCAAACAGTACAAAGAGCATTCCTCCCACAAACCCTTCTCAGTCAGGCCAAGCTCACTTCCACTATTGATGTTCTTCTCAACTTTTTGCTTAAGTGTAGATATGTTGGTATGTGTTTATAGACACATATTCTTCTTTTTTCACAAATCAGATTATGCATTGCATTTTGGTCTGTAATTTGCATTTTCTTGAAGTTAAGAATACATCACAGACATCCTTTGAGATCCTCACATGAAGGTCTAAGGGTAAGACAGATGTATTTGACAATAAATTTTAAGGCAAAGAGAAGTACAAAGTTAAAGACAAAAAGACTCATTTCCTCAAAGACTTAAAGAAACAAAGCTCAAAATACATGGAAGCTAGGTTTTATCATTTTAGCTACACAAAAAGCATGTACAGATCAGTAAAAAATAGACATCTCCAAATTAAAAATAAGTGAAGGATATAATCATATATCAGAAGAAATAGAAATCATTCTTAAAGATATGAAAACTTTAACCTCACAAATTATAAAAAGGCAAGTTTTAATAATTATCAGCTTTGGTGATTTTTTTTAAATTTTCAACACCTCTAATACTGGGCATAGCAAGAATGTAATAAAACAGCTGTTCTGATCTATCATATAAGGGGCAAGATGTCAACGTATTTTAATGAAAGAGAATGATCGATTATCTTTTATGACAGAGAAGAAAAAAGCCATATTGGATCTTTGTTTCAAAGCACTGAATATAATTCAACTGAATATAAATCAAGTTAATGCATGTAATTTTTTGAATTTTTAGAAAGAAAAATGTTCTCTCTAAATTATAGTTTAAAGAAATCTATAATACTTTAAATCAAATCTTGCTTTCTATTTTAATCAATGCATTGCCTAGTTATTTTGATTTTCTAACTTAAATATACTTACTATTTAACTTACTTATGATTACCTTCTGAGAAATAACCATGAAATATAGCCTAAAGATAGCCAGCCCTTAGCTCATAAAATACTTATTTACATAAGTTCATTTGTAAATCAGGTATTTAGAACCTTGCTCATCTTTTTTTCTCCAAGATACCATGGCTCCTTCCCCACCTTGCCCACAAATATTCAATTAACCTATTGTATGTTTAAAATGTAAGAGTAACCTCTCTCTGCCACAGGCTTCATTCTAACGTGGTTTAAAAATCCAATTCAGGCTACTAGACATGTATCTAGTCATCTCTTAGCAGCAAAAGAATTCTTGCCCCTTTCTTACACTGTGGAAGCATGTCATGTAGGCTTCCCATCCACAAGAGATACCTGTCCCAGTAACTCAAGTCCTGAGAGGAGACAGCCTGTGCTAAGAGACCAGAATCCAGAGTGCTGGGTCACAAAGTAATGGCTGTATATGATCAACAGCTGGGAAGAAGCAACATTCCTGGCAAACTACACTTTCCACCTGTGTGGATTACTCTTAGGAAGCACTAGCACACCGAAGGAAACTACACCTCTCACACCTGGTTTGGAACCATCCCAGGAGGCTATGTGCTATGTCAACCATCCCCTTTCACTTTTAAAATTACCCAATTTGAGCACAAATTGCATGAACCTCCATCTTTAGTCACATGTTCATCTACCAGGAGCTGCTATTACCCTGAGTACCAAGTTGGTTGGTTGGTTCTTAAGGAAATGAACGGAAGTGTTTCTGAAAAGGAGAGGCTTTGGAAGCTTTCTTATAGGTGATCGATGGAAATCATAAAATGCATAATACTTTTATTAAAGGAGGGCTTTGATTTCTTTTTTTTTAATGATTACTTCTTCTCTAAAGGCTCAAGAAGGAATTTAAGGAACGATTTGCTAGTGGCCGCAGATTCCATCACTAACACCATGTCCTCTCTGGTGAAAGAGCTGAACTCGGGTGAGTCCCTGCTGGCCTCACTACTTTGCCACACTAGGATCCACGGGTGTAAAGAGGGTCCCTTGGGGGCTTACTCACTGTCAAAGGCAAAAGGATACTTTAAAGGGCTATGCGATATTTTGCCAGTATATTTAGATTTTTGGCAACATTCATGTTTTGCTTATTAGAAGACTATTAATGTCCAATACAGAAACTTTGAAAAATCCAGAAAAAGAATTGAAACACTATAACTGATCTGTAATTATAGACTCTACTGTTAACAACTCTGGTGAGCCATGGGTGGTACTGAAGTTACTTTACAGAGTCAACTTTTTTTTTTTTTACAGTGAAAGCAGGGGTTATATTGTGGGGGAGGGACATACAAAGCAACAAAGAAATAATCTTATAAATGTGTTAGAAACAATCGCGTGAAAGAAAAAAAACATTTGAATACATATCTTAGGGTTCATTTCCCTAACATTACCTTATCTGACCTTTTCTGCTCAGAGTCAACTTTTTTATTTGTCTGTTTTGATTCTCTTGAGTTGGAAATTCATGATCATTTGAATGAAGCTAAAATGAATTTTAAATTCTGCCCAGAAAATGAATAGGATAAAATTCTGAGAGACTTTTTCTTCTTCTATTACTGTTAGCTAAACTTTAAAACTTTAGCAGCATAAATATGAGGTAAATATCAGTTACAAACACATCTCCATCTATTCTTTCAGTCTGACCTCACAAGATATATGTCTGGTAAGATATTTGTCTGGTAGTTGAAGATTATAGAAACTGTAAGATTTAAAACTTCTGGGCCTGGGAATGTGGCTTAATGGTGGAGTGCTTGCCTAGGGAGTGTGAAGCCCTGGATTCAATTCCTCAGTACCACAGCAACAGAAAATGGCAGAAGTTGGCACTGTGGCTCAAGTGGTAGAGCACTAGCCTTGAGAAAAAGAAGCTCAGGGACAGTTCTCAAGCCCTGAGTTCAAGCCCCAGGACTGGCAAGAAAGAAAAAAAAAAGAATTAAAACTTCAATATTTAAAAAAAAAATCTGAGCCAGGCATTGGTAGCTCACCCCTGAAATCCTAGCTACTCTGGAGGCTAAAATCTTAGGATCACAGTTCAAAGCCAGCCCAGGCAGTTAAGTCCAGGAGACTCTAATTAATTCTAATTAACCAACAGAAAACTGGAAATGGAACTCTAGCTGAAAGTGGTAGATCATTAGCCTTGAACAGAAGTGCTGAGACAGTGCCCAGATCCTTCAATCCCTATGACCAACAAAAATAGAAAAACATTAGAGTAATATTAAGTAATTTTAGGGAACACTTTTATGTGTTCCCTAAAAAGTGGAAGCTGTAAGGAGTTAAGTTAGTAAAACAAAAATTCCTTATTATAATTCTCAGGTGAAAAAGAAAATGCTGTACATTAAATTTTTTATAACAATTCATCAATACCAAGTAGACTATTGTACAGCAACTGACTAAAGTTAGTACAACACAGGTTGATTCCTATTAAGTGTATCCCTTATTTTGTTGGACATGAACTACCTAATAAGCCATTGTTTCTTTTTTCAATTGAATCTGATCTACTAGAGGTGGGGAGTGAAACAGAGAGTAATGTGGATTCTGAGTTTGCACGGACACAATTTGAAGATCTGGTTCCATCACCAACCTCTGAAAAGGCTTTTCTAGCCCAAATCCATGCCCGAAAACCCGGGTACATTCATGGTGGAGCTACTACAAGCACCATGCGCAGTGACATGTAAGTACCTTATGCTCAAAAAGAAAACAATCTGTAGGGGGCTATATGGAAATAGAAACATGGTTGTTTAGTTCTTTACTTTGGAAGAGTGGTGCAATTTCCTTTCTTCTTAGACAAGGCAGAAGGGCACAATGTTTAAATTTGGTATTGAGACTGTCTCTCCTATACAGTTTCTGGAGAGTAGCAGAATCTAAGCCCAAGAGTGCATGCTGAGAACCTGGTTTAGCCAAAGAACTGAGCACAGTGTTCTGTCTTTAGTCTATAATTAAGTTAGAGTCCCAGTAAGTGCCACGTAAGGTTTAAATGTCATGAATTGAAAATACGTTTAATCCAATTAACCAATAGACCAACTAACTTAACCTGGGTGCTGGTGGCTCATAGCTATACTCAGGAGGATGAGATCTGAGTGTTCAAAGCCAGCCTGGGCAGGAAGTCCCTGAGACTCTACCCAAAACCCAAAATGGAGCTATGGCTGAAACTGGTAGAGTGCTAGCCCTGAGCAAAAAAGCTTAGAGACAAGGCCCAGGCCCTGAGTTCAAGCTCCACTACTGACAAAAAAGAAAAAGAAGAACATCTTAGCTTAGCAAAACAGTCCACCACAGGGCATAACTTTCATACCAAAGTTACAAACCAAACACATGTAAGTTAAAAATCACGTGAAATATAAATTAGTTTTCTTTTTTTTTTTTTTAAAAAAAAAAAAGCTCTGTTTCTGTGGAGGTGGGAGGGAAGGGATGGTAGGGGAAAAACAAAGGAGAAGGCAAAAATGCTTGATAGGAAATGTACTCATTACCTTGCTCATCTAACTATAACCCCTCTATACAGTATTTTTACAATAAAAAAATATTTTTTTTAAAAGTTCTGTTTCCTAGTTTCAGAGGAGAAGTCATCTTGTCTTCTGAATTTGCCACATTTGCACTTAACAGGCCTCCCTGACACTGGAAAGACCTTCTTTCACAATGAGCAAAGATAACAACATATAAGTATTTGGATTAAAATTAGTAAATAAGTCAAATTAGTTTAAAAATAAATAAACACTTGCTTTGCAAGTGTTTAAGCTTTAAGCCTCGAGAAATAGAGACCTATGGATTCAAGCTTTCAAAGCTGGAGGCCTATGGTGCTAGATGCTCAACACAAAGATTTACTTCTCTAGGCTTAGAATACCAATACCCAGTAGCTACATTTATAGCCCCTGAACTCTGGCCATTGAGACTCTCTGCTTTTCACCCCCAACTGGACTTCCAGTCATGTTAGTCTCACCTTTCATCTTTTTAGAGCTTCTCACTCCCAGTTTCTCTACGAGGTCTTTAAATACTTTTGCTTCCTGCCAATCTCATCTTGGCAGTCTGTGGAACTCTTTAGCTGTCTGGTGTTAACAGCTCAGAGCTTCAGATAGAGATAGCCTTAGATCTCAGAATTCCTTAGCTTCCTCTTGGTGCTACAACTGAGCTCTAGGCATCATCAAGAGTTCCAGCCATTTCCTTGCTGCCCCTGTGGGGGCTAGAATCCCGTTTTTTGTTTTTTGTTTTGTTTTTGTTTTTTAATCTTTGTGCAGCCAGTTCAGCCTGCTCTGCCCATGATAAAGACCATAGTAGGCAAAAAGTCATTCAAGAGCAGCCACTACTAAGGCTAAATATGGCAACCCCATGGGATCCATGTACAGGAGAGAGTATACAGACATAGAGAGAGTAAAGTCCACTTGTACTTGGATGGTAGTGCCACCAGAAATGACCTTGGCATGTGCCTGGGTGACAGTTTCAGCACTGGCCCATCTTACATGTGCACCAATCACAAGCCTTCTTTCTGAGCCAATCACAAGTTTTGCATTGCACCAATCACAGGCTCTTAGTTGACTCACTGAGGAGGTGTGCTCCTTCCTGTCCTGAGTGAACATAGCTTCAGGATGAGCAGGGTCACCTGGAGTGAGGCTTGCCTTGTTCAAAGCAGATTCTTTCCAAAGTCAGTACAGTAGCCACCCAGAGCGGGCTTGACTGAAGCAAAGTTGTAGCTTCCACAGTAACTGTAGTTGCAATGATTTTTCCAGCTGGTATAGAGTTTCCTCAGAGAGTAGAGTGTTCAAAATAATCTAAATTACTAGGCCTGGTGACACACACCTGTGATCTCAACTAGTCAGGAGGCAGAGGCAGACTTCAAAGCCAGCTAATACAAATATGAACTCAACTATCTCAAAAAAAAAAAAAAAGCACAAACAAGTAGTGGAGTACTTGTCTGGCACTGGTATGCTCAAGGCCCTCCTGGATTCAGTCACCAGTAAGACACACACACACACACACACACACACACACACACACACACACACACAATGTTCTCAGTTACCAAAGAGAAGGCTAGTTGACTGACAACTCAAAGCAGCAGGTATTTAGGAACAGTCTATCATCTGTGTCATTCAAGGCACCAAAAAGCCCATTGGGTGCCTTGTTTTGCATATTCTCAAGAATATTTTGCATATGGACAAGAAAAAAATGGTTAAAAGGTGCTAATAATAAAGATCTAGGAGGTTAACATTATTAACCGTTATTTCACAATGCTTAGTCCCTAGCTAGATACCTGTAAGGAGAGCGGGGTCCCTCTGATGGGTGTCATTTATCACCCAGTTAGGTCAGCGAGGTCCCAGAATCCTGAGTCAGCAGAAGGAACCAGTACTGTGCCACAGCAGCACAGTTAGGACTTCAGAGCCCAGCTTGGGAAGGAAAAGGGAAAGAGACAAATAGGGAAGAAAGGGAGGTGTTAGGAGAGTTATGAGAAACCCCCACAAGGGCCGGCAGAGGAGCTAGTGGATCACAAAACTGATGACAGAAAGACAGATGTTTCAGACTAATCTACCAAAACAAACTGGCTGTTTTAAAGACCCACAACAGAAGCTAACCAGAGCCCCTTCCACAGTTTTGGCTTTCAATCCAAGTTGTCAGTAAAAGATCAACAATTACGAACTTATAGAGCGATCTGGTTTAAAAAGCCAGTTGGGAAGCCACAGCTTGTAAAATCCCAACAATATAGTCAGCATAATTTAAACGTGTCAGATGACAGTGCTTCTAATCTTAGTTTGCTTGCCTGTCCTTTCCTCTGTAATTTAGCATTGTCTGATTTGTTATTTTTAAAAATGGTGAATTACCATTTGTAGATATATATCTTACCTTGTAAATACATATCCACTGGACTTTTTACTGTTAAGAATTTACATGGTAACTACATCAAATTTCCTTGTTCCAATTCTAAAATGCAAGAAAGCACCACCATCACCACCACCTGCTCTACCTGTGGTGTGGAAAGCAGGACAAGCTACCAACAAGAGATTTGGAAGTTAAATAGACGCAATTAAGCTGGCCCCAAATCGCAAAATTTAAAAAAAAAATAACAAGCACATGTCCTAGAGACATAAATGACCGTGAACATTTAATGTTTAGCCCAGAAACTTCTCCTGGACCACACTTTTCATTTTAGAGGTTATCTTAACATCTATACTGTATGAACATATACTGTTTTGCCTGAAGAATAGCTAGCTGCATATAATTTATATAGTGAATTTGAGTTCAGCTCCATGAAGCACATTGTATATTCTGAATGAGCAGATGGAGACAGAGCCCCACATTTGTGAGTGACAGCATGATTATTTGTTTTATACTGGAATCGGACACCGTAAATTGATTGCTCCAACTCAGAGCTAATATAAATGTTTATGGTCAAGAGGTAACAGAGAGATGTGCCCTCTGGCCTTGATTTGCTGATGCCATAAGACTTAATTGTACTATAAAGCTAAAGCTTGAATGTGTGTGCAGGTGCGTGTGCTTGTGCATATGAGCGTGAGAACAACAAAGTTCAACATAAAGAAGGTTGAACTACAGACATACGTTCTTAAGCATTATTTCACTAGAGGGCTCACTCTCCTTACAGATTCCGTTTTAAAAGCTCTGTATTGAGAAAAATTGTCCTTCAAAGCACAAGCTTACCTTTTTTAAGATTATAGAACATTTCAAAAGCCAACTGTTTCTATAAATTCTAGAAGAGCACAGATGGCTGATGATTTCCAGACAGCTCTAGAAAAAGGGTAAGAGCCTTGATCGCACATTTTTCGAAGCCTCTAGATTTGGGGATGGTTTTTGGTGGTTTGTTTTTAAGTTTGCATTTAGGTAAAAGAAGATATGAAGCTTAAAAGTGAGTTGAGGGACCCTTCCTAATTACAATCTGCCTTTGTGTGATTATTTTCATGTTGTACATTTTTACGGTCCTCAATACGGGGAGATGGATTTGCAAAATAAAGTTTCCACTGTGTCTAAAAAAAAAAAAAGTGAGTTGGAGGATTCAAGGGAAATCAGTATGCCCAACAAACCCACAGCTAATCCATCAAATTCCTCTCATCCACCTAAGATTTACTTCAACATGCCTTCTGTGGTTTATTCCCAGAGTTACAGAAGATGGAGATGCCTATGTGAGGCCTGACGATGAGAACTATGAGAATGATTCCGTCCGGCAGCTGGAGAATGAGCTGAAGATGGAGGAGTATCTGAAACAGAAGCTGCAGGATGAGGCCTATCAGGTACAGGACTGGACCCATAGTGCACAGCACGCTCCTCTGCCCTTGGTAGCTGGGTCTTTCTCATTACTCACAAAGTTGGTGTTTCCTCCTTCTTTTCAATCTTCCTCTCAATGGCACATCATAAACCATATATCCCAGTCAGTAAAAATGTATTTCTTGTAGCTGCCATTCACTGTGTAGTCTTATAAACTCCTGCCTGGAAACTGAAGAGACCTAAATAGAAACATGGTGCCTAACAGTTTAAACTCCTCTAGGATCATTCAGAAAAAAATGCCTTTTTAAAAAAAATACATAAATTAAAAATTAAGACCTGAGTATGGTAGCACACTCCTGTAAATCCCAGCACTTAGGAGGCTGATGTAAGAGGATTAGCATCAAGTGTTCCAGGTCAGCCTGGGCTACAAGTAAAACCTGTTTAAAAAGTGAAATAAAGCGAGGCAGTGGCTCACGCCTGTCATCCTAGCTATTCAGGAGGCTGAGATCTGAGGATCACGGTTCAAAGCCAGTCCAGGCAGGAAAGTCCGTGAGACTCTTATCTCCAATTAACCACCAGAAAACAGGAAGTGGTGCTGTGGCTCAAATGGTAGAGCACTTGCCTTATGCTAAAGAGCTCAAGGACAGTGCCCAGGCCCAGAGTTCAAGCCCCATGACTGCCAAAAAAAAAAAAAAAGTGAAATAAAGTCATAATAATTGGATACAAAAACATGTATTATATATAAATATACTTTCCCAAATTCTTCATTGAATATGATACTATTTCTCCCTTGAATTCCTCATTCTTCTCATTGACTTCCTCATGCTCAACTGATATCTAACATAATCAAACAGGTTGGTGGCAAATATTATTGAGAAATGCAGGGGAAGTGGTTATCTGCAGATCCTGGTTCACTAGAGTGTGGAGAAGGATGGAGGATATTAACTCCTGAGAATTCACGAAACATAACATGCACAGTTGGGGAATGATGTCACTAATCACTTTTTCTAAAGGCAATGCATTTCCCCTATGGGCTTGGTCTACTGCCCTGTTTATCTTTCTGTGTATGCCCTTTCTTTTCTTTTCAATAGGTTTTTTATGACAAAAATACTGTACAGAGGGATTACAGTTACATGAGCAATGTAATGAGTACATAACAATCTGGAGGTATATTGGGTTCTGAGAGCTCCTGTCTGGTGGGAATTAACTGCTTCCCAGCCCCCGTGGCCTATTGTTTTCCCATCAGCCTCTCTGTCCAGTGGCCACACAGGCTCCCTCCACATTCTATATCAGCAGCCACCCTCTTGCTCTGTCTGGATGACAGAGAAGCAGAGGGCGTAAATTGTCTACTGTTTCTCGTATGTTTCCAAGAAGAATGTAGCAGGATGGAAATCCAAAGGACTGAAATCCAAGAGTACCCCAATAATATAAAACAAAAGTGTTGGTTCTCTAGAATGTTCCATTGGCCGTGTCAGATTAAGAGCTATGTTCCAGAAGTAACCAAATGTCATTCTAATCACACACACACACACACACACACACACACACACACACACATATAATATTCTGTGTTGAGTTGTCTTATCTATGCTCCAAAAACTAAGTCACCTGATTGCAAAATCACAAGTACTCTTTCTTTGCAATTCCTGTGGCCGGTCCACAAAAGGCAGGTCTCCTAGAATGGATATGGTAGGATGTCTCCAGGACCTCTGATGGCCTTCTTCCACACAGCTCATGTGGTTCTGAACATAGAGAGAGAGATGTGACTAAATAACCAATATTCTGGTTCCTACTCTTAAAGGAGGCTATTAGACCTCCCTCTTTGAATTCATACCTATTTCTGGATCTTAGTGACAACAGTTCTAAAGTTCCAGATGTTGCTCTTTTAATGGAGGCAGCCTTTTACTATTCCACAACACATATTAGACTTTTACTGATTTAATGAATTGAGAATTTAGCCTTGTATGCGTAAAATAAAGGGAAGGAGAATTTCTACCTCATAACAAAACAAGCCATCTCTCTTCCCCAGTCCCTCCCTTGTCTCCAAATCATAATGGGAAGTATAAAGAATTTTGAAAATGGGGTTTGTCTTTTGCAAATATTAATGCAAAAGTAAAACAAGATTAATTTTTGATAGCTGAAAACAGCTCAATATGTATTAGGAATTCTTTATTCTAAACCAAGGATAAGACTGATAGAAAGGTTTCTTGTGAAGGTAAAGCTCGACCATCTTTTAGTAATAAACCCTTTGTAGAAAAAGTAGAACATCCATTCAGCAAAGGAGGGAACAATGATCTATTCTTTTTTATTGTGTTCTATGGGTCTAACTTGTTGGGTTCTAAAATTCTGGGATAAAGGAATCATGAAACCATGTTATTTGGTATATTCTGTCTCCTTTAAGAAAAAAAGTGATACAGCTTGGGAAAGAGTTTTGATTCCACAAGTCTGGATGGTTAGTTTGTGAAGAAAAAGCTTAAGAATACTTGGATGGGAATAAAACTTATAATTTTAAAAAAGGGTGATTCTATTGATGTCTTAAGATCCAACTGGATTTTTTTTCTATCTCTGGTAAGAAGTCTTTAGCTCCCTTTCTCTGTCCTTGGCCTTTTATGTCTGGTGACTTTGATGGGAAGGGCAGGAAAGGGGCTGAGAGAATATATCGTCCTCACTCAAACTGCATACGCTGGAGAAGGATGAAATGGTTTCCTTCGATGCTATGGGAACAGATGGTGATTGGCTGGACTGGAATGCTTCTTTCATTCCTCAGGTGCTCTCTGTCCTTGTGCATGGCTTCCAGCCAAATAATTCACCGGCTTGATGCACCACTGACTTGACATGTCACCTCTCTTGTTTGTGTCCTTTGTCACCCACAGGTCAGCTTGCAAGGTTGAATGCAATGCCCTTTTATCACTCTCCTCTCAAGTAAGTACCCTCTTGTTTAGGCGGCAACATGGCCACTCTCCACTGAATCCTGATAACTTGCAACATCACGTCACAGCCACTCTCTCGTAGCTGTTGCGTTTTATGTGATAGAAAGTCCTCTTTTTCTGCTGATTGCAAAAAATCAGCTCCCATCCATGGAGCATTTCATGATAATCTCGAGAAGATCTACCATCATGGTACTGACTTGTTATTTTTGTAGTTAGGGAAACCAGAGATGCCCCACGAGTCCTCTTTGGTTATGTCAGCAATGGCATCAGTGTTGCTGCCTGTCTAGCACTTGAGAACGAAAACCCAGTGAGTTCAGCATCCCTACATGGGTCAGCTTATTAGCAATGCCAGACTCAGGACTCCAACCACCAAATGTGTGTATCTTAACAAGTGTCAGCTAAATCAAGTATTATTTAAAAACTTCCACAAGCTTAGATTTTTGACAATTAATTCACACTCATTGTGGAATTAACAAGAGATGGATTAATTTTGAATTGCATTTTAAATTAGATGATTTCATCCTGGGGAATCTACCTAAATGCATGCAAAACCTTCCAGTTTATTTTCAAATATAGATAGAAAAAAAAGTAGCACTTTCTATATATATTTTTTTAAGCTAGCGAAGACTATTATTGGCTTGAGTCTGGTGATTTGAAACTTAGGCTCTGGACTCTGTTAGATCCATTTTCAGATGTGGGTTTCACCAGCATAAATCTCAGCAAATTATTGACATATTCGAATCTCAATTTCCTCTGTACAATATGTCCTAGTATCTACCTCATGGAGAAGTTGTACTCCCTAGAATATAGCCTTGAAAAAGCTCAACAGAGTTTCAGACACACTCTATAAATAATTGTGACCATGCACCAATATGCCTGCCTCTTACTGTGTCCCACACTTCACAAGCAGTTCAACATCTAAGAGCTGCTATAAGTAGTGTATAGGATCCACTAGGACTCAGAAGCCCTTTGTTCCCTATACTTTTATGAACATGGCCAAGACTCAGCTCTGTTCTATGGCTTGAGGCTACACTGTTCCAGAAGTCTAGATGGGTTTGCTGGCACTAGCTAATAGCCATGTCAGTGTTCCTCATGACAAGGTAAAGCTAATGAATGCACTCCCCACTTCAACCTGACGGTTCTGGCCCAAGGATTTGTGTCTACATTAGTGACATAGACCTTCTAACCTCCTAAGGTTAGAATCCCCAAGTCTATAGCACAGTTGATAGTAAACTCTATTAACCCAGGCTGCCAGTTTTAAAAAATGAAATCTATTTCTTAAGTGACATCTCAGTAATAAATACTATGCTAGTTCCAAGGCCGCTGGTCTGCATCCTATTTTATGCAAATTAAACTGATGGCCCTAGTTGCGTGATGACACATACTTGCTGATGGACTACATGGACAGGAGGCTCTAACTGACCACAGCGTGTTCTTTATTTGGGTTTGAGAGTGAAACCAACACTGCAAGCTCTCTCCATTCACTTTGACTCCAGTAAGAAACATTCCCAGGACCCGTTGCTGAAAATATTCCATCCAGTTTCAACAAACCTAGCCCCAAGGGAACAGCCTCTTTCCTTTTATAACGTTCTCTTTCTCTTAGCCTGTGTATTATTTTAAGCGTTGGTAGCTACCTCTTAGAAAAATATTTCTGTTCAAAAATGGCCTTGATATAAACTCACATTTTTAAGAAAAAAAATGACAGTGAGTTTTTTTTTGACCTTTAGAGACTTAATTTTTGGCAGTGAGAAATGACACAGCTGTGAGCTCTTCATTTGTCACATGAGGGTACTCTGTCTCTCTCTCTTTCGACAGCTCTCTAAACATGAAGCAGCCTGTGGCTAACTCAGCCGCTTAAGCAAAATCCATTTAAAACCTGATGGAACGTTACAAATACTAGTGGCTTTCCATCTTTGTAGGTAGTTGTAGCCTACTGCAGTTTTTCTTTATGTAGCCAAAAATATGATTCAATTTTTAGAAGTTTATATGATTCAAATAATGTTGTTTGGGCCCCTGACTGTACTCTAAGTCCAAAAATTATGATAAATTCTATATATCTCTTAACCAACTACACTGGCTTGACATCAACCTGTTAAGCCAGAGCCCTACATAAAACCAAAAGTGGGACCCCAGAAACACAAAGATTCAGTTTCTGCTCTAGTAGGACTTCTGTATGTATTTGGAAATATACATTTACCAGCAGCAGAATAAATGGTTTGTTGCTCTCCTACTAACCACTGTTGAAGAAACAGTCTATGAAATGGTTAGTGCTCATCTTAGTGTCCTCCAGGACATCATTTTTGACCTGCTCAGATCTTGAATTTGTCCTTTTCCCATCCTCTACTCCATGAAATACTTCCATTATCCAGTTATACCCTAGCTTCAGAATTTAGAGGTTGGGGGCAGGTGTGCTAGCTCCCACCTATAATCCCAGCTACTCAAGAGGCTGAAATGGGAAAGATTGTAGTTGGAGACCAGACCAAGATAAAAGCCAGCAAGGCCTCTATCTCAGTAGAAAAAAAAAAAGCTGGATGTGGAGTTGTGCAAATATCACCACAGCTACACAGGAGGCATAAATATGAGGTTCTTGATCCAGCCTGAAAATAATGAAAGTAAAAATGGCTAAGACTGTGGTTCTTTTTGGTAGAGCTCTTTTCTAAATTCAATCCCCAACACTACCAGATAAAGGAAGGAAGGGAAGGATGGAGGGAAGGAGGAAGGAAGGAAGGAAGGAAAGAAGGATTTGGATCATGGAAAGTGTATGTTTTAATCAATTTGATCTTCTGAAAATGAATCAGTGGCCTCACCTCCTTTCCAAAAGGCAACACAAATATTTCTGTTTGTGATGGCTTTAACCATCCAGACCCCTCGAGGATACCTCTAGGTACCCCTTGAGAAAGAAACTTCACAAGCAGGCCTTGCTGCCCTCTCTCCCATTGTGTGCAACAGCAGCACACAATGTCTTAGAATATTCATCCCTAATTTTCATGGGAAGGAAGTTCAGTGTGTGTGTGTGTGTGTGTGTGTGTGTGTGTGTGTGTGTGTGTGTATGGTGTACATATTTGGCTAAGAGGGGGAAATCCTAAGCTTCATGACCCTGATTTAGAAACAGCTTCTATCTTTAAAAAAAAATTACACATTCCTTATTCCCAGGCAAGCTATAGTCAGACAGATGATGACATAACATGAAAGCTGGAGGTGATGGAGAGCCCTGTATCCACACAGAGGAGGAGGAGACCAGCCTGGCAAAGCCTCACCCTCGCCGGAAAGAGGAGCCACCACACCCCGCAGCTCCTGGCAAACCCCCATCCCTTAAGATGTGTTCTGATGCCTGTAGTGCAGCTAACTTTTTGTTCTCAGATTTGTAGTTCTTCAGTGTGTGTTTTAGAAGGGGGTGGGGGAGGGGAGAACAAGACTTCTGTTCCAAGCTAATGTATCAGCTCCATCTTCTGTAACATGGCTCATTCCTGGTTCAAAACAAACAAACACAGGCTGAGAACCCACGCTACTGTTACACACGGTGGCAGTATTAACACGCATTTCCAATCTTGTACATGATCGTGAACCTGTCCAGTTTACAAAGACAATATTAACACTGTTTATAGCTAAACATTTGATTTCAGGATTCTTTAGAACTGTAGCAAAATAATTTACTAGACTCTGTACAATGGTTTTTCCACAGCAATTGGGGGGGCGGCGGGCGGGGAAACAACCATTAGCAATTATTCACTCATCCTGAAAGAGTTGGTTCCTGAGTGTTCAGCCTCAGAGCCCAGAAGCCAGGGAGGGAGGGGTCATTGGCCTGAAGTTGACTGCAAGTCTCTGTGAGCAGGGACCTGAGCCAACCACCAGGAATAACCCATTCCTTAGGGTCTCTTTCCAATGTAGGGTTGGTTCCTTTCAAGATTCTCTTAACAAGTCAGCCATAGAACTTAGTGTAAATATTTTTTTCCAAATAGATATCATATTCAAAACAAAAAAGAGACAGCATTCAAATTATATAGAATCTAGTTTTTAAAATCAGCACAGATCTTCTTAAAACTGTGAACTATGTTTTGAAATACTCGTTACTAAAGCTGTTTATAAACCACAGGTGCCATAAGATCCCCAAATGGACTAAAGTGATCGATGCTCTTCCATGGTCTTGTTCCTCTCGTGTTAGCTTTAGGAAGCATGTCATTCACCACACTGCTCATTCACAAGTCCCCTCCCCCCTCCACCCTGTCAGGTTGTTCGGAGGCCTTCAGCTTTAAATGTACAGGCTTAAAGTGCGCTTGCAAACCGTTCTCTCTCCTTTTATTTCTGAATGTGGATTGCCTTAGCTGGCCACCTCGTGTTCTGCATGCAGCTTTGTGTGGTCATATGAAAGGAGACAGGCTCTTCTACATTGAGTTGGGAGTCTTGCACTCAATGACAAGCTACTGTCAAGGACAAGAGAATGAAAGACTCTGGGTGGTCCTTTAGACAGAACCACTAAAGAACCACTCTTAGGGATTCTGGGGAAAATGGAAATGTAATCATTTGTTTCAAGAGACGAAAAGGAAGAAAAGCTTGCGACATACTGACATATTGGATATATCATAGTTAAATGAGCAGCTTCTCTGGAATTCCCAGTGTTCGTTTAAAAGAATGAACATCACTGGAGAACACTGGTTCTCCAGATATAGTCCCCACACCTGTGCATCGGCGTCATCTGGGCATGTCATACAAATGCAGATTCTTACCCATTAACCCAGGCCTACTGAATCAGAAACTCTGGGACTTGGGCCCAGCCATCTGTGTTTTGTGCTAATCAGCCCTACCAACCATTCTGAGCCTTGCTAAAAGGTGAAAATGACTGCTTTACAATAAGGGTGTACAATAAAGTCTCTGAAAAGGCTTTATTTGGAATAAGTAAGAGAGAATCTACGTCAACCTTAGAGCTTTAGCCATTTAATTTTGCTTCCATGGCTGTCATGAACCTTCTCCTGTCCCTGACACCTGGCCTACAGTGGAAGGGTGGCAGCTGGGAGCATTTCTCATTTTCAAACGCTCTCTTCAGGGGGCCATCAGATGTTCATGCCTCTGCATCTGATTAGAAGCCATCTCCTGGGCTTGCCCTTGGAACAAAATCACATGGGGATAGCAAAGTACTTGATTGGTATCAGGAAGGACCCCATGCCAACCCTGGATCTACTTAATCATACTCCCCTCCAGAGAACCCACCTAACAAATGTCCCTGAGCACAGGCTAGCACCAAAGTGGCACAACTGCACTGTTCTCTGATTTCTTTGCACAGGTGGATTTTATTGCGGGTTTTGTTTGGTATGTCTTAACATTCATCTCTCTTCCACTGCCCATCCTCTGTGAACCCATACCTCTGTAGATGGAGCAGGTGGCCATCGGTGCCTCACATTTAATACTGAAAAACCACTACATCCCAACTACCTTTATTGTTGTCAGCTCAAAATCAGAGCCAGAGAATTCCTGATTTCAGAACTGAGACCCTGTAAGTGGCCCTCAGCCACTGAGTGGACTGAGCTGACCTGTGTTGCGTCTTTGTGTTTCTACATCTAGATGTGAGTCTAAGGTTTGAGCCAATCTACTGAAAAACCCTCTCCCTAGCCATAGCTTTCATTCAGCCAACTCCACTACTTGGTCATTGGTACGTACCATTGTACAAAACGATTGCCAGGACTCTGAAACTGTCACCAATGACCAGTTTCTCACTAACCAGCCACCTTTTCTTTCTCTTAGCTCCACGTCAGCACAGAGACCAGACTCAAGCACCCTTGCCCTGTAACCGAGACAAAATGGCGTGTGTCGTTTTGGGTTTTTGTGGTTGTGGGTGGTTTCCTTTCATTGGCTCTCCAAATGTACTTTTGGGGATTGTTCTAAGTACAAACCCAGCAGGTTTCATCTGTCTTGTCCATTAGATACAACTTTATCTTACAGGGGTACTTTTTTTTCTTGTTCCACAATAAACTGCATATCTGTCTTCATCGGAGCTGATGGCCTATTAATGAGCACTGTTCTAACACAGCCATCCCTCCCCCACAGCACCACATTCATGAAGGAGGGTGGAATCTACTGTATAGGATTCAGGAATCAGTTGTGGTTGGTCAGGACGGAAGTTGGGGTAAGTTGGTTGGTTAGAGGGAGATTGCTGGAGATTAGGTAAATGGATTGATGTATGATCTACTATAAGGCAGGGAAGGTTCATTTGTAAGTAGTAATGTGAACTGAATTGCATTAAGAGTGTGGCCTTTGTCGTGATATACTATGTATTTTCTTATATGCATGAGCCAAAGTGTTGCAACATAAGTTAGCACTGATGTCTGCTTTGATTTTGATCATCTTCATCCACTCTTATTAGTTCTTGGCTGTTAACTATAGATAGATCTTGTAAACCTAGCAGCCTTGGGCTGCTGCATTCACCTGGTTCAATTCCACACAAGGAGCCACACAAAAAAAATTAAAATCAATAAATAAAAATTCCACTACGTCCTCAATAGAAAGGACATTTTTACATTGGAACTAAAACGAAGGAAAAAAATCAGAAGCATTACATCTTGTTGGCTAATTAACTTCAGACATTTGTAATTATGACTACTGTAATTTGACACCATTTGAAACAAGCAATTCAGAAACACTAAAGATTTCACAATATTCATTGGTATTGTAATAAAACTATTGTATGGACTTTTTGTATTGTTGTTAAGTATTGTTTTGTGTGTGTGTGAGTGTGTGTGTTTGTGTGTGTGTGTGTATGTGTGTGTATGTTGGAACCTCCTGGGGACATGTTATATTTTGAAGTGATTAAACTATTTAATTGTGTGTCTATATTTTGGAATGGAATTATTTCTTCATTAAAAATGTTTTTTTAAAACACTACATCTTGTGCATTTCATTTCTTGGATTCGATGAGTCTTTTCCTAGACCAACATAGCCACATGGAGACAAGACAAGTCAGCACTTGCTGTGTGGGGCAGGGCCCATTGAGGGAAGGTCAAGGCAAAAACAACATTTCACCTTCTCTTGACAGCCACCGGTGATTCTCACCTGTAGTCATACCTACTCAGAGGCTCTCAGTTCAAAGCCAGTCTGAGCAGAAAAGTCTTTTAGATTCTATTTCCAAAATAACAGCAACCAGCAGGGCTAAGGATGTGGCTCGAGTGGTAGAGAACCAGGCAAGCAAGCAAAGAAAGCAAAGGAAGGAAGGAAGGAAGGGAGGGAGGGAGGGAGGGAGGGATATTGGGGGGGAGGAGGGAAAGAGAGAGGAAAGGAGGGAGGGAGGGAAGAAAGAAGAAGGAAGGTTTTTTTCTTGCTCTATCCCCTGTAAATATTTAAAGTGGCATTTTGTTTTAAAAATATGGAAAAATATACACCAAAATATTCTAGAATATGGATGATGATATTTTGCTAATTATACTATTTTATTTTCTCCAGGCTTCCTACCATAGATATTCAAAGCCTGGGCTGGCTTTGAACTGCGATCCTCAGATCTCAGCCTCCTGGGTAGCTAGGATTACAGGCGTGAGCCATCAGCACCCAGCCTGCTTTACTCTTTACCATAGCCAAGATACAGAATTAGTCCAGATGCCCCTCAGTGAAAACATAGATCAAGAAAATGTCACACACACACACACATACACACACACAATGGAATTCTAGTTGTCCATCAGAAAGAATATTATACCATTTGTATGGAAATAGAAAGACTTGAAAAAATTATATTAAGCAAAGTAAGCCAGACCCAGAGGTCTGTATGGTTTCCTTCATTTGTGGTAGCTAGAATGCACCTACAAATCTGTAAGTGAACACCCTGGTTGCTATATAAGTGGTTACAAATGAATTAATTGAAGTATAATGGACTCTGGAGAGCTCAAATAGTACAATTCTTTAGAAAGACTAAGTCAATGCCCAACAAAATAAATACCAGGAAATGGGTACTTGCAATGTGGGAGGAGGGAAAAGGGGAGAAGGGGAGAAGAACGAAGAGGGAAAGTGAGGGAGAATACAGTCAAGAATTCACTGTATATACCACATAATTGAGGGAAAACAAGGGAAGGGGTGGGTTGAAGGGAGCTGAACATGTCTCTTTATGGCTTCTCTAGCTTGGAAGCAGTTGTATCAGAGAATAACTGGGTAGTACCTAGTATACCAGCTTTCCAGTCAAGACCTCTAAGATAAATTTATTTTTGCTTATTTTGGAATTGTTTCTTGACAGACATCTTTCCCTCTAGTAGTGGAGTGAGGCTAGGGAAGAAGGCATGGGGGTCAGTATGTCTACCTTAGGCAGAGGAGCCTTTTATACATTCAAGTATCATCTATGTATGCGGACACACACCCCATGAGAATACACAGTGTTGATTTACTGAGACGTATCTTCCAAATATTATAAATGTATTATTAACGTTATGAATCTTGTTTTCAGAAAATCATATGCTAAACAGTGGCACTACAAACAAAAAATGCAATATGCTCCTTTTTTTCCAGCCCAATGGTTTATACTGCAGTTTTGTTCTCATACTAACTATCCAGGAGTTACAGCAGATTCCACAAGTGATGAGTAAAATTTTCCTCAAGAGTCTTCCCACTTAAGAAGACCATCCTAAGTATATGGGAATATTCATATTTACAACTAAGCTATAACTTCAGGAGTTCCCATGATCCCCTCAAGCATCCTAAGTATATGGGAATACTCATATTTGCAACTAAGCTATAACTTCAGGAGTTCCCATGATCCCCTCAGGCTAGAGAACTCATTAGAACAACTCACAGAATTTACAGAAAGCAGCATACTATTAGAATTTGATTGTAAAAGACATAGATCAGGAAGTGCCAAATGAAGAAAGAGGGCAAGGTCCGGCTAGTGGGTGAAGTCATAGAGCTGCCATGCCTTCTCGATGCAGAATCTGGTAGAATCTGGTTATCTCTGTCATTCCGTCACTCTCCCACTCTATGTATTGTGTCCAAAGAGTTTGTGTCTGAA